CAACACCCCTCCTTGTATCCCTCTCTCTTCTTTCCTAGTCCTCTTTTCTCTTGACATTCTCGCCTACCTCCTAGATCTAAATCTCACGCCATGTTCATGGCTCCTCCTATTCCTACCTAGCCTAACTTCGAGACAACATCTACAAAGAGGCCTGCCATGTTCATGTTCATTGTGGATTGTTATAAACCTGCTGGATCATGACTGAGCAATAATTTAATCGAACTCAAGATTTTGCTAGGGCATATGCCTGCCATCCCAACCTTGTTTTCCTGTTTGCTCCATTACTTTACTACATCCCAGTATTCTACATTTCTACAGCGGCGCTGTATGGAAGCGTAGAGCCAACGAATTAGGGCGTGTCCTGCGTGTACGCTTGATCGCGGTTGGGTGAGATCCTCTACAGGGGGTATGCTCTATGCTCCAAATCCGCGACTCGCAAATATGGACTAGGACGAATAAGAGCGCTTCACTACGGGCAAAATGGATTATCGAGTAGCACGTACGGTTTTAAGTAGGGTGGCGTAGGCCGTTTTACTCTTTCTGTTCACGACGGGTGCCTTGGCGTATTGGCCATTGGGCCAGGTTACCAGCGACTTCGCGGCGTGTCATGTGAGGGCTCATGTGGCTTCTTAAAAATTGTTCAGCAAATTTGTCGTGTGGTCAGAATTACCGCGGACAATAGAAGTAACACCTCGTTCTCGACCTTCCGCAAGCAGCGCAGGCTCAAAACACGCAAATCATATAATTTGAAAAACCCTTTTCGTGGTCTCACGAAAAGGGCTTAACGTAACGAAATTATGACGACTCGCCTGAGCGGTTCCGTTAACTAATCACACACTTTCACGAAGGTGAAAAAAACCATTAAAAAAAAAAATCCGAAATGTGCATTGGTTAATGGTGATTGAGGAACCGTGGGTCGTGTTTTCGTATTCGGGACGGAACTGTACGTGTCACGCGGAAAGCCTGAATATTTACGTTATTGGTTATAAAATATGGAAAACACCTCGAATGTTCTTGACACGAGGATTCGAATAGGACCGAAATAATAATACAGAATGGATGAAAAGGGGGTACGGATTCATGCCCATGTCAGCGCGCATACAAAAGTGCCAGGTGGACGGGGGTACCAGCTGGCCTGTCACCCCCCGGTCCGTCGTGATTACGTCTGATCGCTCTGGCAAGCGCGTATTGGCCGGGCAATTCTAAGCACAGTTCACGAGAAATTTCCGAGCTCGCACTCGTGGGTTGTTTGGAGACACTCGCATGCTGGAATCGCACCCAATTCGGGTGGCGCGACTCGATGGTCGGTGGCATTATGCGACTGTCGTGATTGGTCACAATGTTTTATTGCGCTTTTTTAGCGAAGTCAACACTAGATGTATACCGTACAGACGGAGTACATCGTGGCCGATCTTATCGAATTCCGGACCTTGGAGTATTACATGGAGTAAAATGTCGAGGACCTAATGGCATACCCGCTGTACTATCAACAGGTTGATAGAACGACCTGAAACTGTTGGGTAGGGTTTTGAGCTAGAAACGTACGTGCGGGACATGCCCTTGCCTTCCTCGCCAATGGCACCACTCAGCACCACGCCTGTCGTCGCCATGCCCTCCCATTGGACCATGGTGGATGCCAACAGGTACCCATCCGATGTGTCACGTCATTACACGTCAGCCCTGGCATACTGTTGCGCTATGCTGCAGCACTACAGTCAACTACGCGATTGCGCAACCTCATTTGGGGTTAGTTTCGTTAGAACTTGTTTACCCCCCTTGTTCACTGTTCCTGGTTACGACCAACAAATAGAACTCATTAAACTACAGTCGACTGCCCAGAATATCGCAATCCCCGAGTCTAGATTCGGACCCGGAATGGAGCAGTACACCCAGGTCTATGAATCCTCTGGGTAAATGGTTTGTGATATACCCTATTTAGCCACAGCCATCCCGAGCTATGGACGGGTTGCTTCTAACGTGGAACAGCTTGGGACGGAACTGAACGGATCGGGCTGACTCATTAGAGGCCACATTTGATTCTATAAGGCTTACTTAATTCAAATTGCCTTTCAGCGCATTAAAAGAATGAGTCGGGACGGGGTGGGGGTGTGGGGGGTGGGCGAGGTGGGGGGGGGGGGTGGGTGGTGGGGGACGGCTGTTTGAGGCTCCCAAGGAGCCCGCTCTTCAGGTGGAGTGACAGCAAAGACTCTCTCAGCATCCACACTCGGAAGTTGTATAAAATGTTTCAGGGTCAGATATGAAGCCCAGATAGTAAATTACAGTCTTTTCAAATTAGGGTGCACCACTTCCCACTAAACTCGAAAATGTACAAAGTTCGAAAATCCTTGCAAGGTGGCGGTGCTCGACGTTCCATTGGTTCACAGTTCTTCTGGCACCCTAACTTCCGATGTTTGGTTGTGAGTGTAGTGCTGGGCTCACCTCAGGGTTTTCGTCCACACGGCTGATCCGGGAAACTCTCTCGAGGGACCCGGATTAGACGAGTACATCTCAGGGTTTATTTATTTATTTATTTTAGTATATCTGAAACATTACCTGTCAATGTCCGGGTTCAGTCCTTGGATGTTTTTCCGTGATGACAAACGAGCCTTGGAGTGGAGGTGGTTGTGTCGTACAGTTCAAACACGCCACACACAAAATCTTAATGGGTGGATGTCGCACGGCATTTCTTGGCTTCGGAAGGGAATATTTTGTCCTCTCGTGCGGAGGAAAGGCAGAACAGGTTGCTGGCGGACGTCCTTGTGGCATTCAGTTTTGTCTCAATTGCTAGGGACATCTGGTCTGGACACTGTTGCAGTGGAACTTTGATGCCTCCAAACCAGAAAATATTATGCACGAGCAGAGACGATTTAACGGTACACACGAACTCCTTTTCGAGCCTATTTGTTTTTGGGCCAATGCTCTAGAGTCTAGCACTGAGCTGTCACAGGGGAATTGGACCAATTTAGGGTATTCTGGTTACAAGGCACCCTCAACTATGGCAAGCTCTGAGAATATTGGAATTGCTCTAGTCGAAAGGGGGGGGTGGGGGGGGGGGAAGGGTAGGGCCCGGGCGAGTGTGCACTCATCATGTTTTTACGAACATAATCTTGGAACAGTATGTAATGTTCAGGGGTGGGGACCTTGACGTATGCTGCGACATCGGCCCAAGCTGACTCATAATTCCTTCTGTGATCGTGACTGTGATTGCGCTTCATTGGTCGATTTCAAAAAAAAATTGCGTATGTGGGAATTGTTTAAATGGATATAATGTTATTTGCGAATATTTGCTAATGTCATCGTTGATCTAATCGAGGGTGCTTTGTATGTCGTTGACATTTTCGAATCTAAAACGGGTGACCATTGTTGTTTGTTTTGCGTTCCAGGCAATTGTGTAAGGTATGAGAACGCGCGTCTGCACGTTTGGAAGTCTCTGTATCAGATGTGGTAACTGTTGCAGATCTTTGAGCCTGTTTCGTTTGGGCTGTTGCCCGTGCGTTCGGACCAATAAGACCGTAAATGTACAAATAGCATATATTGAATGAGAGATTGACTGTAAGTCAAGTGTATTGCTGATATAAGTTGACGTGATATATATTAGTCGAACGTTATCAAACTCCATACTTCGATTTCACCTCATACACATCGAATGTGGGGTATCGTCCCATGAAAATTGAAGGACACCCATCTGAATTGAACAGAAGCCGCCAACATTCCCACCCTCTCCTGAATGGCACGACTCTCCCCGCACTTCATCGCATGGGCAGAATTCATCACCGCCCCAGCTACTTGCTGGAAGCCCCGAAGGAGTGCATGCGTGGGGGTGCACTAAAACAAAATCGTGATGAAAGCTACCCATCATATTTTCTCTAGCCCGGAAACGAATGGCGGAGACTCTCTGGTGGGTCTGTTTTCCATAGAAAACACGCGCCTAAAAAGAGCCGTTCGCCAGTGACGACGTACATTGTGGGATGTCCCGAGGCGTTGGTGAATTTACAGAAGCCAGCGGGCGAGATGCGAAAAGGTGAATACAGTGCCCAGTGACAAGTGTCGAATGATTACCCTTCAGAAGAAGCGAATCATCGCCGCCCGGTACAGTATATCAAGTTCCTTCCCGCGGTGCAGCAGTTGGGTGGTTTCTTCTGCCGAAGATTCTGAACCCTTCCTCAATCCCATTGCGGCGCGGTGCGGTGCTCTGCTGCAGCAATCCCAGCCAGCACACACCATTCCCAGATGGCATGCCAGCAGTTGCAGTCCATCTCCAGTTCCCTCACGTGGACGTTCTTCTACAGTGCTGTATCCCAGCTCTCCCACAAGGGTTTCACGCATGCGGTGCAGTTCCCCCCCACCCCAGTTCCCCCAGTGCTTCAAACTCAGACTGAGCTGGCAACAACTTATTGCTGCCCTCGAAACCTTGGCCTGAGCTGGCAACCATTTGTTGCAAGGTCGATGAGAGATCGTCCGCCGCATTGGCAAAGGCCTGGGCCTTGAGGATTTTGGAATGTTTGAGGTGGATTGCTTATGACCAGGTATCAGAGTGCCTGTTTCTGAGATCGCGTTCTGGGGTTTAGCCATCCGACACGCCAAGTAAGCGTTGGCCTGGCCAAAGTTGCGACTTCAGTTGGCAAAAGTTTGGGGTTGGCCAAGTTTAGCCAACTGCAGTGCCACGTCACTGGCGACATCTGGGCGACGCCATACTCGACATTTTCTGAACGAACCGGGGTCGCGGCAAATCAGAATGTTTGCGAACGATGAAACGACGTTGGGCAAAACCACCGAAACGTCAAATCTGTCAACCCTTCGTGGGCCCCCGTCGCACGAATTCTGATCGGCCAGGTGTGATTGGCTAAACATTGAAATGTGCAATTCCGACGTGGCGAGTCACAGGCTAAACTTCGTTGATGGCCAATCTTCCAGAACGTGCCCTGAGGTCCCTGTGAAAATCTTGTAGTGTCAGGCATATCTGTTCACAGCCTGTGTCAACTGGCTTGCTAGCTCCTTGCTGCAGCCAACTTTCCGATTTCCCACATGTCCGTTTGTTTGAGAGAGCACCGCCGCTGCTGCCAAATGTCGGAATTTCGGGATCGCAAAGAAAACTTCTGTCTCTCCAGATCGCCGCTCAACATTCGACTGGCGCGGAGCGCCGGTCAGCGAAACATCAAGTTCTCCGGGAAAAAGGAGGAGGCCTCTCACGGAATCACGCTGATCTCTCGTGCATTTATGAAGCAGTGCGTTGGGAGAGTACCCCGCAGTCTGATCTGCGAAAATCACGTTTTTTATGTGGGGGAAAAGCTTCAGGTTTGGGGGATAGACCTTCATGTTTTTATCCAGCTCATGCCAGATTACTAAAGCTTGTTAGTAGAAAGTCTTAGACTTGTTCAGAAAGTCCGGAAGCTGTTTTAACACAGCATGGAGCCTGCCTGACTGATTCAGAAACATGGCGATTTCCCATCTCATGGATGAAATCGAATAACCCGGCAGCGGAACTTCCGCTGAAGCTTATGGGATCCTTTGATATTCTGAGAGTCCTCGATATTGCCATATTTCTGGAAAATTCCCTGATGATAAAATAGCCAGATTTCCTGGAAAGCTGCGGTTGGACGCCCTAGAACCCCCCATTGACCACCCATCTTCTGACCAGGCCGGCTTCTTGTAACTCTTCGCAGCAGTCACGGCACGAAGGCGACTGCTGTCACAGCAGCTACGGTGTTTGTCAGCGACGCTACCAACCTTCGCTTACGGAGTCCCCACGCTTCAAACGACGATGCCTTGATTTGGAGAGACCTTCTGAGCTGAGCAGCCTGGATCTTTCTGTGCAGTAGACGCTGAGATCAGTCAGGTATGAGCATGTCACGAGATCAAGCTTCAGGGTTCAGAAACTGTTCCTCATTTCCCGCTGAGGAAGGGGAGGAGGCGGAGGAACGAGAGCGAGCAACACACTCTAGATCCGTTCTGGATCTGAATCTTAGACTTGGTCACGCGGATGAGCTACTGGGTCATGGAGTAGCAGCAGCAGCAGCAGCAGCAGCAGCAGCAGCAGCAGGAGCAACAGCAGCAGCAGCAGGAATTCATGCCAATGCCAGTATTGCTGCCACAGTGCCGGAATCAGATTTTGAAACAGATGACAAGATGATGGTTTTGGGGGGATTGTCTATGCGGCGAGGAGAGTGGATGTCCCAAAAGGAAGCCTCCATGGTCACACGTGCTGCTGTACTTGATCACACGCCGTGGAATGCTGCTGTTGCTGGTGCTGCTGGTGCTGCTGTCGATGCTGCTGGTGGTGTTGCTGCCGGTGCTGCTGTCGATGCTGCTGGTGGTGCTGCTGTCGCTGCTGCTGTCAGTGCTGCTGTCGATGCTGCTGTCAGTGCTGCTGTCGATGCTGCTGGTGGTGCTGCTGTCGCTGCTGCTGTCGATGCTGCTGGTGGTGTTACTGCTTCTGGTGGCTCTTCTGCTGCTGGTGCTGCTGCTGGCTCTGCTGCCCTGGATCGTGCTGCTGCCATGGATCACACGCCATGGCATGCGGCTGCTGTCGATGCTGCTGGTGCTGCTGCTGGTGCTGCTGGTGGATCTGCTGCTCTGGATCATGCTGCTGCTCTGGATCGTGCTGCTCCGATGGATCACACGCCGGAAACTACTGCTCGGGGTGTTCCTGCTGCAGCTGTTCTTCCTCCTGCTTCAACTGGATTTACTCCTAGGTGTGTTTCCTCTCCTGCTCCCAGTGGTGTTGCTGGTGGTGCTGCTGCTTCTGCTCTGGATCGCATGGCATGGCGTGCTGTTATTGGTACCCAGGAAATAGCTTCTCGGGGTGCCTCTGCTGCTGCTGCTGCTGCTGCTGCTGCTGCTGGGGGGGGTGGTGGTGGTGCTGCTGCTGCTGCGGCTACTGCTGCTCCCATTCTGGTGATCGATGCCAAAAAAAAACCATCCTCGCAGTCCGATCATTTTCATGCAATTTCAGGCTCTCCGGCGATTCAGGCTCCATCATCAAGTGAGCCTTTTCAGACTCGTCGCGCCTCTGGGCCTACGAGTCATCCTGGGGCTCTGGAGTCTATTTTTGAGCCGCCTCGAAAATCGGCTCGTCATGCCATGGGGCTTACTGAAGCTGGGCCTCTGGAGTCTACCGAACACACTAGTGGAGCCGCGGATAAGATCCTAGGTGGTCATGACGTGGCGATGTTGCCAAAGAAGCGCGCGCGACACATGACAGCATCTGATTCGCCGGATTCAGCAAGAGCAGTGGGCGGTTTGTTTGGTGATCGCGGGAGGATCAGCGCTACAATAACCGGCATCGGGTATTTACGCGCTGGTTCAGCGGGTGCTACAACTGCTGCCCATTCTGCTTCCACTGCTGCTGCTACAGCCTCTCCTGCTGCTACACCCTCTTCTGCTGGTAAAGGCTTCCCCTCCACAGGTCCTTCGACTACTATCAGTGCACCAGCCTCCTCCCCCGCCCCCCCCTTCCTCTCCTCCTCCCCCTCCGCTCCCCTCTCCTCGACATCTGCCCCTCTCCCCTCCCTCCTTTCTCCTCCTGCTCCCCCTCTCCCCTCCTCCTCCTCCGCTCCTTCCTCCTCCAATTCTCCCTCCCTGACGCCTCAAATGAGCCGACTTTTAGCTAAGTGGCTGAGGTCAGACGGCCAGGGCCCTCACTACTGCGTGCTATGTCAGCAGAGTTTCCCGACTCCTGAAACTCTCGACCAACACAAGCGCGACAAGTGGCGCTGCTCAAGCGCCATGGAGTCTGCTGTGCTTGCAGCTAATGCTGCCAGCTCAGCTGGAGCTACAGTATCCGGTTTGGCAAACGCGGCTGGAAATCTGGTTGGGGGGAAATTGGTAGCAGCTGGGGGTAATCCTGCCAGTGAGAGCAGAGCTGCTGTGGTTGGCTCGGAGGGAAAGGCGGGACGGAGTGTCGCTTTGGATGGGTCTGCTATCAAGAGACCTGTTAGTGGGAGGCGAGATCAACACCATCACCACCACCGCCACCACCACCACCACTATCAGAATCAGAGCTTCTCAGGTGCTACCCAGGCTGCTGCTTTTGGTGGTGCTGCTGCCAGGGGAGCTGCTAGTCATGATTCTACTGACGCTGGTGCTGCTGGCGGTGCTGGTGCTGCTGCTGCTGCTGCTGCTTCTGCAACTGCCAGCGAGGCTGGCAGCACAATTCCTGGACCGTTATCACTTCTGCTACAGTCACAACTCGCGAAGGCGCTGCTACAAAGAAGCACAAGCACCTCGGTCCACAGTCCCGTTACAAGCTCCCTCCAGGTTCCGTTACAAGCCCAGCAGCAGGCACACCAAGCGCTGATTGGTCAGGCTAGCAGCAGACAGCCCACAGCCCCAGAGCACAGTAGCGGCATTCAGCTTGCTGCCTCACAGAGTAATAGCAACGCCATGCACATTCCAATTCCATTGAGCCAGATGCAGGCTGTTACCAAACAGCCCACAGCCCCACAGCACAGTAGCGGCATTCAGCTTGCTGCCTCGCAGAGTAATAGCAACGTCATGCACATACCAACCCCACTTAACCAGATGCGGACTGCTACCCAACAGCCCACAGCTCGAATGTGGCCGGACAATGCCCACAGGTACGCTGGCATCCTCGCAGCTTACAGACAGTCCTTGAGTGTAGCCATGGATAATGGAGCAAGCAGATCGAGGGGGGAGGCCTCAGGCCCTGGGGAAGGGCCATCGATCATTGAGGCGCCTCTCAACTTAGCTTACAAAGAGTCTCTGGGCGCTTCTGTGGATAACAGAGTGAGCAGTTCAAGAGGTGGGGCGTCAGGTTCTGGGGAAGGGCCATTAGGAGCAGAAGTGGCAGCGGCTAGAGCAGCTGCAGCTGCTGCGGCAGCAGTGTTTCGGGTGTTAGGGGTAGCGGGGTTAAGAGCAGCCGAAGCAGGGAGAACAGAAGCAGGAGCAGCAGGAGCAGCGGCTGCTGATACAGGAGCAGTAACAAGGGCATTAGGGGGAGCAGGGGTAGGATCAACGGCAGCAGGAGGAGCAGGAATAGGAGCAGCAGAAGCAAGAAGAACAGAAGCAGGACTGGCAGTTGCAGGATTAGGAGAAGCAGGAGCAGGAGGAGCAGGGGCAAGAGGAGGAGGAGGAGTCGGGCCGTCGGCACTTGCAGTGGCGGCATTGGCAGCAGCTGCAACAGCTGCTGCTGTTGCAGGAACACAAGGAAGAGCAGAAGAAAGCACAGCAGGGAGTCACGAGGGGACAGCCGTAGAACAAGCGAGGGGGGCGTCGACGACAAGAGGGGAGACAGGCCCCAATCTGAGTCGTATTCTCTCCCAGTCAGGTGGTCAGGAGAGTCCTCAGGTGATTCTGTTGGCGCTTCTTGCTCAGTTGCAAGCCCAGGAGAAATCCCAGGCCGAGCCCCTCTCTCGGGGGCAGCAGCCAAACCTGCAGCAATCAAGACAGCAGCTGAAACTAGAGCACTTGAGCCACCAGCTGAACTATCCAGCTCAGATGCAAGGGCAGGAGGGACAGCAGCAGGAGCTAAACCATCAACAACCGAACCAGCAGCAATCAAGACAGCAGCTGAAGCTAGAGCACTTGAGCCACCAGCTGGTCTATCAAGCTCAGATGCAAGGGCAGGAGGGACAGCAGCAGGAGCTAAACGAGCTACAACCGAACCAGCAGCAATCAAGACAGCAGTTTGAACAGGAGCGGTTGAGCCACCAGCTGGGCTTTCCAGCTCAGATGCAAGGGCGGGAGGGACAGCTGGAGCAGCAGCAACAACCACCAAACCAGCTGCATTCAAGGCAGCAGCACTCGACTGAGCAGCGATGGGATCAGCAGCAGCAGACTCAGCAGCTATGGGGCCAGCAGCTGTTAACGAAGGAGCAGTTGCGGGAGCAGGAGGGCGCCGAAAAGAGCTCAAGGGAGAGTGCAGAAAGCCACCAGCGCCAGGCCTCTCTGTCCCCAGGGAGGGGAAACGGTCACCAGCGCCAGGCATCCTTGTCCCCTGGGAGTGGGGAAGGTCACCAACGCCAGGTGCGGTTGTCCCCTGACTTGAGCTCGTTCCGGCACATAAGCCTCGTCAGCCCTCCTCCCTCTACCATTCCTTCCCTTTCCAACGTGCCCCCCTCCAACATTCTACCTCCTTCCATCACTCCACCTCCCTCCGCCATGCCGCCTGCCTCCAGCATTCCACCTGCCCCCAACATTCTACTCAACAGTACCTGTCTCTCACACCTAGAGCCTCTGGGTTCCCAACCCCCACCGAATTTTCCTCGTCGTCCTCAGTATCATTCCCCTTCACCTATGTTTATGCCGGTCCACTGGCCTCTCTTTCCCCCTCATCAACCTTCTGCCACGGTATTAAAACAAGAGCCATCAGTGGATATGCTTATAACGGGTACAAATGCAGTACCAGTAAGCGAGTTTGAACAGAGTCCTTCTAGGGATCATTCTACAAGGGCTCTTAGATCTGTGGCTTCAATTGTGGAAGCCAGGGGACATGGAACAACAACAGAGTCAAAAGACACAGTAGGAGCAGCAGCAGCAGCAGCAGAATCAGCAGCAGCAGCAGCAGAATCAGTTGCGGCAGCGGCAGCAACGGTGGGAACAGGAGAAAGTCATGGGAGAATGGAAGGGCACTTAATGCAAGCCCACACTCGAAGCAGTGGGTCCGACAGTTCTCCAGTGCTGCTTTGGGGTGTGAATCTCAATCACGGTGTCGGAGCCAGCAGTGGAATGACTACATGCGGAGAAGAGGGCGCAGTACATCCCATTCGGCCCGAGTCGCAGGGTGCAAGCTTGCCAGCGGCTACACGCCTGCATTCCCAAACATTAGGGGCAGCATTCTCTGCAAACATTGTTTCAAATGCCGAAGGCTTAGTAGGGGCTGGGGAACAGAGCATTGATCACGGGGGGTGCAAGGAGCATATGGTGTTGCCGGAGTCATGTTGCTCATGGAACTGTGTCTATTTTTCCATCCCATGTCGCCAGAAGCAAGTCAAAGCCGAGGCAGCAGAAATGTCTGGTGCTTCAGAGTAAGTTAGAAAGCCAGTAATGCCTCATTCAGCATTGACATCAGTATGAGTACATATGATGTACCGTATGCACATTTTCAACACAAATTGTACTTGGAAGTGCCTCACAAAGTTTTTGCAGGTATTGTGTAGCAACGAGGATGCAGAGAAAGTTTGTGCTAGAGGTTGTTGGGCTGAGAAAAACCCTTTAGGATCTTTTGCAGAGATTAAGTCCCAGCTGTAAAGACTTGAGACTTGGAGTAGTGCAGCGGAAGTTGAGGCAGTTGAACCCTTGTACTAGTATGTGAGAACAAGTGATTGATTAAAGAAACAAGCATACAGCAATATATAGAAGATAAGGAAGCAGTTGTAGAATACAGTTACAGGAACGGTTTATCGAGTCGCACAGCGACTCGATTGCCGCTTCGGTTACCATCCGTGATGTTGTAACGGTCAGTCGCAACCTCCAGTTGCGACCTTTCGAGTCCTTTCGCATTCTTTGTCCGCCCCCTCGTGTAACCTCCGTTGACTCGCGTGCTCCCCTGTAATCTTCCTCGAGTACAGTGTTACACTTCAGAAACGCTTAAGTCCTTGAGATATTTCCAACACTCCCCTTCGTTTCTGGAGTGCTGGAGTGTTCAGATCCGGTGACGTTTGTTTGCCCGGTTAGGAGCATGCAGTAGTCGAATTTTGCTTTCGCCAATTTCTTCGTCAGATAATCTGCGGCCATTTCTGTCGTCGGGCAGTAACTGAGTTGAAGTCTCCCCTTCGCGATTTCATCCTTGACGAAGAAGTACCGCAGGGCGATGTGCTTGGTTCGGTTGGCGAAGCCGTCCTTGTTCGCGATTTTTATCGCAGATTGGTTGTCGCAGAGGAGTGAGAAGGTGGGCAGGGTCGCGATCTTCGCTTCTTCGAGTAACTCTCGTAGGTAGAGTCCTTCCTTGGTCGCAGTACAAAGGGCGATATACTCTGCTTCAGCCGAGGATAGTGCGATTAACTCCTGCTTGCTCGACTGCCAGGAGATAGTTCCGATAGGTTCTAGTCGGTAGATGTAGCCCGTCCTAGACCGTCGATTTTCGCTGTCTCCCGCGTGGTCGGCGTCGACGTATCCGAGTAGTCGTACGGACGGTGTTGTTGCCTTGCTGTAGGTGAGCCCGATCGTCGGCGTGGAGACGAAGTAGAGTAGCGCTCGATTGAGTTCTTCGAGATCTTCCTGTTGCGGCTGCTTCAGATGTGTCGCCAGCTGGCTCGCACTATAGGATAGGTCGGGTCGGCAGGTTACTGTTGCGAATAGTAGACAGCCGAGCTTCTGTTGATACTCCTGGATTTGTTTCGCGGGGAGTTTTGTGGAGGCGCTACTGTTGTTCCCGTAGCGGTAGGGAGTTGGGACCGCAGTCGGTGTTAGACCGAATTTCTTCGCGACGGTGCTTGAGTACTTTCCAGCGTGTAGGTAGAACGCCGTGTCGTCTTCGACGACGTTCAGTCCTAGGTACTGCGTCACCTCGTCGGACACCGTGAGCGTCAGGTCCCTTTTCAGCTCCCCTTCGAACCAGGTGACGATGTCGGTGGTAGAACCGATGTAGAGCAGGTCGTCGACGTAGACGATGAGCAGAATGTAATCTCTTCCCTTCTGTAGTCGGTACATGCCTTGGTCATGTGGTAGCTGTAGGAATCCGATTTTTACGAGCCGGCCGTGAAGGTGCTGCTGCTAGAGCCGTGGGGCTTGCTTGATCCCGTAAAGGGATTTTTCCAGCTGGCATACTTTTGAAGGGTCGTCGATGAATCCGTGGGGTTGTTCGACGAAGATTTCGGCGTCCACAGGTGCGTACAAGAAGGCGTTTGCAACGTCGATTTGCCGTAGTGGTAGTTTCTTCGTGGCCGCGATGGCGAGTAGGATGCGCAGAGAGGTGTGACGGGAGACTGGAGCGAAGGTTTCTGTGTAGTCGGTTCCGTATCGTTGATCGAAGCCTCGTACGACCCATCGAGCTTTGAATCGTTCGATGGAGCCGTCTGAGTTGGTCTTGATGCGGTACACCCATTTCCCCGAGAGAATGTTCTTCCCGTTGATGCTCGTTGCAGGTACCAGTTTCCATGTTTCTCGGTCTTGCAGAGCTTTTAACTCTTTTTCCATCGCTTCCTTCCATTGTGCCTTATGTTCCCCCCCCAGAGCCTGCGACAGGGTCGACGGCTCGCGCGGAGAAGGCGGCGGCGGGTGCTGGACGGAGACCCATAGTCCTAGGATCTGCAGTCCCGTGGCTGTGTGTCGAGGGGAGTTTTCATTCTCGGGATAAGCTGCTTCATCACCGTCTTCAGGATCGGGTAAGAAGTTTGGCCCGATGCGTTCGGAAATATTCGAGTCGACGGGGTGTGGTGTAGCGTAGCCTTGGTCAGCGAAGTGGTAAAAGGTGTCGAGGTTGTTGCTATCGAGAGGATTATCTTCATCGAGTGGAACAGGTACGGAGCAGTAGGGGAGTGGTCCGGCAGCCTCCGAGGCTCCAGGGACGTCTTCTTCTGCTGCGTCAGCCTCGGCAGCATGGTCAGCGAAGGAGCGAAGGCCCGCGAAGCCGTCGGTGGGGTCGTCTGAGTTGGCAATGTTGTCCAGGTAATGCTGCAGCGTCAGTCGCTCGTAGAAGATAACATCACGTGATGCCACCGTATTTTTGTCGTGTATGTCGAGAATCTTCCACGCGTGAAAATGTTTGGCGATGCCGAGGTGTAGTCCCCACCGAGCTCGTTGAGTGAAGCGTCCTGCTCGAGCTGTGTGGGGTCTGTATTGTACCATGCAGCCGAAAACTCGAAGTAATTTTGTGCTGCCCCTTTTTCCCGTCCACAGCAGGTGCGGTGATGCGTTGTTGGGGAGCGATGACGAGGACAACAGGTTGTGCAGGTGGACTGCATGTGTCATCGCGTCTGGCCACAGTGTATTGGGCAGCCTCATCCCCAGAAGCAGTTTTCGCATCGTCGTCTGCAAGGTCCGGTTCATGCGTTCTGCTACCCCCTGCTGCTGGTGAGCATAGGGCAGAGACACCAGGCGTCGGATTCCCCTTTCCGCGAGATAGGTCCTGAAGCGTTGTGACTGGTATTCCAGTGCACCGTCTGACTGGAAACTCTTGAGTTTGGTTCCTGACTCTCGTTCGGCGATTGGAAGCCATGTGGTGAAGGCCTCGAAGGCTTGATCGCGCGTTTTGAGATTGAAGTGCCAGACGTATCTGGTTGCGGCGTCGATGAACGTGATGACGTAGTTGAAGTCGGCTTCGGTGTCGTCTCGAGGCATGTTTAGAATATCGCTGTAGACCTTTTCCATCGGAGCGTAAGTGGGTGCGCTTGGATTGTGATGGGCTGGGAAAGGTTGATGAGGAAGATCTGCTTCGGGGCACGTGAAGCATCGTGCTCTTGGTCGGCGAAGTTCTTGGCCGCTCGTCGTTAGAAGGGCGTTACGTTCTAACACCTCTGCTTGTATTGTTTGTAGTATCGTGCTGTTTGCAGGATGTCCGAGACGTTGGTGCCAGATGTCGTCGGGAGCGCGGTGACCGGGCGAGCGGTGGTAGATGTCGGCGTTGGAGAAGAACGCGACGACCGAGGCGGGACTTCGACAAGCTTCTCGTGTGGCGGGCATAAGTTGGTCTGCTTCCGTTGGCGGTCCTCGTGTTGATGGTGGTGGTACTCGGCTGGGTCCTGCTGCCGATACTGCAGGTGATGGTTTTGTTGGGACGCTTGCTGGTACTTGTCTTTCTTGTCTGATAACTGCTAATGCCCGTGTTCTCTCTGCTGCAGGTATGGTGTTGGAGTGCCAGAAGCCGTCACTGTCGAAGTCGGGATCAAGATCTGGTGGGTGAGTCCAGGCGGCGAACGATACGATGCCATCGCTGTCGGCAGTTCCGCGGTCGGGGACGAAGTCCAACACGAAGACACCGGACTTCAGGAGGGCACGACCGATGAAGAGACCGCCCTTCCCGTGGTAAAGTCGGAACTCGTTGGAGAAGGAGTCGCACTCCAGGTGAATCCCCTTAGCCATTAGTTGGCTTACGCTTAGTAGGTTGTATCCCAGATTGTCGACGATGAGGACTTTGTTGAGCTGAAGAATAACGTTTGTCTCCATTGATTGTAACTGAACCACGCCTTGCCTGTTTGTTTTCAGGTTTTCGTTGTTGGCGACGGTGATGACGACGTCGCGGTTGAGGCGTCGCTCGTGTTGTACGAAGCGTCCGGAGGAGCACATGTGCTGACCGCAGCAACTGTCCAAGAACCAGGTGTTCCGCCCGGTGGGTTCGGCGTTAGCGACTGCAGCGTATGTCGGGTTGACCTGAAGTCCTTGCGAGCGCGGCGGCGGGAATTCCTCTTCGTCTGGTGCGTAAGTGGGTGGTGAAGCGGGTGCGCAGTTGTCGATGTGTACCATGCAGTTGATGATGTTGGGTGTTTGTTGTGCAGATGTTGAAGAGCGCCTTGGAGGACTTGCTTGAGTGGAAGCGACTTGTGGGTCTGCTGCACGGTAAACGCGAGGGCGGTTGCAGTTGACCTTGGAGTGCCCGGAAGTCTGACAGTTGTGGCAGAACGGCGGCACGATGGTGAGTCCTCGGTTGTCGCGTTGATCTTGCTTGCTGCGTCGGTTGTAGTTGTTGTCATTTCTTCTTTGAGTGTAGAAGACTAACTGCTGTTGCTTCCTTGGTTGTCTTTCCTCGAACAGATCCATCTCCTGTTGTTCAGCGTGAAGCTCGGCGCAGAGGTGCATCTCCGAAATTCTTCCGTGGGCTCGAAGAAGTGATCGTGTGGTTCTCCATTCTGGCCCGAGCCCGGCGAGGACAAGTGTCACGAAGCTTTCTTCAGTGATCGTTCCTCCGCACCGAAGCAGGCGGTCGCGGAGGGTCTGGCAGCGACTCATATACTGCATCGCCTTTTCCCCGGTCTTCATCTGTATTGTTGTCAGCTGTTGCATGAGTCTGCTTTGTGTCACGCTGTCGTTTGCTTGGTAAAGGCATTTGAGGTGGTGCCATGCGAGCTCCGCGGAGTTTCCATAACTCCGATACGTTCTGATGCTCTGCTGCTCTTGTGGTGACAGGTTTCTCAGGAGTACCGTGTACGCCAGCAGCGACTGATACGTGAAGATCTCTTGTTCCTTCCCAGTGCCGTTGCTTGGGAATGGCAGGGACCCGTTGAAGTATCCCAGAAGATGCGCGGCCTCCATCAGCAGCTCAAACTCGAAGCTCCAGGTAAAGAAGTCGTGTCCGTTGAACGGTGAGGATGTCTGAAGTTTGATCACGTGTGAGAACTGCGCCTGTAAACTTAAGATTTCATTCGGTGTTTGTTGTGAAGCAGCTGCTGTTGGCTGGGCACGGGGCGGCATGAATTCGAACGTCCCCGGCGAAGAATGATAAGGCGCAAAGGTAGGCGCTTGGTTGTGTCGCCCGAAGGATGAGTTGTCGAGGCTCATCGGCGCTAATCCCATATTCCCTCCATTGCTCTGTGTTGAGTGCGCAGGTGTCCTTGTCTGCTGCTGCTGGTCGAAGTGTGACATGAAGCTGAAGAATCTCTCCATGAGATTCGGGTCCACACTTGAAGAGGGAGACGGAGTCACCATCTCTGGTACTCTTCCCGTTGTTTCTTGAGTAGTCCCGGTCTCTGTCTGCAGTCCTGAGGTGTGCAGACCAGAGTTGCCGTGTTGAGTTTCTTGGGCGCTGGGTGAGCCCGTAGAGACTTTCTTGCCCTTGTTGTCCATGTCTTGTAATCAATGGAGTTGTTGAATCAAGTTGAGTTGCTGGTTGTTGATGGAGTGTAGTTGCTGGGAGTTTTGATCTCTGACCAGCTCTCATACCATGTTGGGCTGAGAAAAACCCTTTAGGATCTTTTGCAGAGATTAAGTCCCAGCTGTAAAGACTTGAGACTTGGAGTAGTGCAGCGGAAGTTGAGGCAGTTGAACCCTTGTACTAGTATGTGAGAACAAGTGATTGATTAAAGAAACAAGCATACAGCAATATATAGAAGATAAGGAAGCAGTTGTAGAATACAGTTACAGGAACGGTTTATCGAGTCGCACAGCGACTCGATTGCCGCTTCGGTTACCATCCGTGATGTTGTAACGGTCAGTCGCAACCTCCAGTTGCGACCTTTCGAGTCCTTTCGCATTCTTTGTCCGCCCCCTCGTGTAACCTCCGTTGACTCGCGTGCTCCCCTGTAATCTTCCTCGAGTACAGTGTTACACTTCAGAAACGCTTAAGTCCTTGAGATATTTCCAACAGAGGTTTTGCTTAGAGGATGTATAAAATTTGATCCTATACAAAATACTTCCTCGAAGCCTCCTGAAAAATGACAGCTGGCCTGCCAGCCAACCAGGACAGGGTAGCTAGCAAGAATCCCAAGGAAAGATTTGCTAGGTGACTGGGATTCTGGGAAGAGGATGCTTGGGAAGGGGCTGGTAGGAACACGCTCTAAGGTGCTTACAATATTGGACGAGCGTTTCAACCTCTGGTGTCCTTTTTAAGAGAGTTTCGCTTCTGTGTTTTATGAGCGGGTTTCAGCTCTTTGTACAGAAAGATTTTGAAGGATGCCATGCATATTTAACGGATTAAAGATAATAGAATGAACAGTCTTAACGCCGAATAAGGCGAGTCTTTCAGCCAGATTCTAGGACATTACGTTGCGACGTGTGCATGATGTAAATCTTGCTACTAGTTTAGTTTTATCTTTCCATTACGTTTAGTTGCAGTAACAGATTGGACAGTTCTTTGATCACAGAGTTTTTCGCTTGCACCTTCAGGGTAACGTTGACACGATGATCCCCAGCTTCTTGCAAAGCCTAGCCAAATTAGGCATCTGATTGGCTAGGCTAACGCCCATATCCAGAGGCAATTGGGATTTTCGAATTTCCGCCACGTGGCCACCTTCCGACACCCGAAATTCCTCCAGTCAGCAACAGATGGGCTGCTGATTGCCCCACAGCGGATTTCGCCCGCGAGGTTGCCGCCGAGGCGGAACCTCTTGGGGGGGCGGAACTGTCAGGGAAATCGGGGATTTTCCCGCCACCAGCGGAAACCCCTCCCTGCCTGGTTGAGGGAACAAGCAAACAGAACATTTCAGAAGAGATCCAGCTCCCCTCTGCTTAGCTGACCCACGGCCATAACACCAGCGTCAGGCATTAATTCCCGAGAAATTGGTAGTGCAGTCAACACATAGAGCAGCAGCGAGGATATTAATTTCCTGGTTAGGCGTTAGTTAGACGCCTCGTTGGCCCTTGTCATCCGGCTATTTGAAACTAGGGGCTTCCCCCTTCTTTCATCACACCAGCTGGTTATTCAAGGCCGCATTCGCTCAGTTGCCATGGCGACAAGCCTCACCAATGCCGTGGCTCAGAGCATCGCTGCGGTTCCCGAGCTCGCCGCAGCTCGCGGAGCTAAGCACGCAGAAGCAGCGTCGCTCGCTTCCTCCTTCGCTGGTCTCAGCCTGAAAAGAGTAGAGCCTCTTACGGCCAGAAGTAATGCCTCCAGGGCTGTCAGGAAGGCATGCCGAGCCGTCGCTGCCGTGGAAACAGCTGCTAAGTCCGAGCCTGAGAGAGGCTTCGAGAATGAAGGGAATAAGTACGGTCGCGAGTACTTCCCGCTCGCGTCCGTCGTCGGACAGGTCGATCCCGAACCCTTATCCTTACCGTCTACGTGAGCAGCAGCCGTTGTTTTTTTTTTAATATCAAAAGTACCAGCATTTGCTCGAGATTTCGTGCTTTCCTTTGTGGAGCTTGTATACTCAAGTGGGTCGTGCTGTTTCTGCAGGAGATCATCAAATCCGCGCTGCTTCTAGGAGCCGTGGACATGCAGGTTGGCGGAATTGCCATCGCCGGTAAGAGGGGAACTGCCAAGACTGTCATGGCTCGCGGACTGCACGGGGTGCTTCCACCCATCGAGATCGTCGAAGGGAGCAGCGCCAATGCCGACCCGGAATGTCCCCAGGAGTGAGTAGCGATATCCAGTTCAGTTGAGTTCTTTCGTCTGCGAGCTATGAGTATCCGATTTTCGTTCCAACGCGGAGGTTTCCTCCAACAATAAGAAAACATGCGAGAATCTACATTGCGTTCGTTGATTCTTTGCTATTTCAAACGTGCAGGTGGGAGCAGGGCTTGAAGGACCGCGTGCAGTACAACGAGGATGGCACAATCAAGACCAAGATCATCCGCGCGCCCTTCGTGCAGGTTCGAACCACTTCCAAACTCGTCGGTTAGGCGTTAGGCCGTGGTGGTGGTGGTGCTTTGCGTTCGATTCGCAAGGCCTGTTCAACTTTCCGACGGCTTACTTATTTCCTGAGCTCGCCAAAGAGTTTCGCAAAGTCTTTATGCAAAACAGATTCTCCATGGGGCGAGGCTAACGAAGCCGCCCGCATTTGGACGTGGTGTTCGAACAGAATTTCTTCTTTGCTAAAGCACCGGGCCCTTATCCTTTTTTCCCGCTTCCCCTTGCCCTTTGTTTTCGAATTCTTCCACTTGATCCCCCAAACCCTCTCTCCTCCATCCCCCGTTCCCCTCCCCCGTACCTTCCTTCCCCTCCCCCTTACCTCCGAATTGCGTGATTCCCTTCACCGCGTCCGTAAGCAGTCAAGACCAGTCACAACTTGGAAGCGGTGAATTTCTGATGTATGCGCACTGATGTTCCCTGTATCTTCAGATTCCCTTGGGTATCACGGAAGACCGTCTTATCGGATCAGTCGATGTCGAGGAATCCGTCAGAACCGGCACAACGGTCTACCAGCCTGGCCTCCTGGCCGAGGCGCATCGCGGCGTGCTCTACGTGGACGAGATTAATCTCCTCGACGACGGCATCGTGAATCTGCTGCTCAGCGTGCTCACGGACGGAGTGAATGTTATTGAGCGCGAGGGCGTGAGCTTCCGCCATCCGTGCCGGCCGCTTCTGATCGCGACATACAACCCCGACGAGGGCAATGTTCGCGAGCACCTGCTCGACCGTATCGCCATCAATCTCAGGTAATTGACGCCTTTTCGTAAACCCCCGATAGCTGAAGTTTGGCCGAGTTCTCTGTTCGTTTTATTATTTTTTTCCATCGTTTCCTCGAGCCTTGGGAACTTTTGTAATGTCCTTATGGTTCTCAAATTTGTAGTCGTCCCATCTTGTGTTTTACCCTCCGCCTTCTTTTGTTGCCGTTTGCTTCGTTTTTCACGCATACCCTTGTTTCGCCCTCTCGGCGCGGATGTCGTTCCAGACTTCCAGAACTGAGTGTTCCTTTTCCTCCTTCCTCTCCTCCCTCCTTTACCCGCTCCTTTCCCCTCTCTCCCCCCTCCTCCCTCCCGCCTGCACTCCCCCCCCCCCTCTCTCCCCCCTCTCCCCCCCCGCCGCCACCCCCTTACCCCCCCACCTTCTCTGTCTCGCTCTCCTCCGCTTCCTCCTCCTCAGCGCGGACGTGGTTCAGGACTTCGGTGACCGCGTGTCAGCAGTGGAGATCGCGATGAACTTCCAGAACCGCGCCAAGGAGGTGCTGGTGGAGTCCAAGGACGCCACGGAGGCCGCGCGCACGCAGGTCATCCTCGCGCGCGAGTACCTCAAGGAGGTCACCATGAGCCGCGAGCAGATGAAGTACCTCGTCACGGAGGCCATCCGCGGCCAGTGCCAGGTTGGTTCCCTCACACCTACTGCTTTCCGTGGTTTGGTATGTGTTTTTTCGAGCGGTGCCTCGAGGAGGGCACGAAGAGCCGCGAGCAGAAATAGTACCTCGTCACGGAGGCCATCCTCGGCCAGTGCCAGGTTGATACTTGTGAACCCATTTCCGGTTTTCTTTTTGTGTGAATCGCTGGAAGAGGTTAGTCAGCATTTGGCATTCCACATCTGACGATCAGCTGTCGGTGTATCTGCTGCACTTTCGGTTTACTTTCCATCCAGGGACACAGAGCGGAGCTGTTCGCACAGCGCGTGGCGAAGGCGTCAGCAGCACTGGAGGGGAGGGACAGAGTGAGCGCAGACGACCTCCGTAGAGCGGTCAGTTCTCCTAACACCCTTCCTCCTCACCTTCTGCACAGACCTGTTTCCGTGGAAGCTGTGTTGAAGGAGCTGGTGTGGTCCATTCTTGGCAAAACGGGAAGCCGCAAGGCAATTACTTGTTTTGAATGCAAATGGACCTAGATCAAATAAGTTGCGCTTGTCTTTAACTTCAGAATCTTTTTCCACGTGGACTTGAAGTCACTCACAAGCGTACATCGCGCATGAGATAGCGCCGTGCTCGTTTTAAGCTTCCTCACTGTATGGCTCGGCTTTTGGCAACTCCACTTTGGTCATCCCTGCTGCTTGCACGTTTGCGTGTTACCCTCGTAAACTCGTCGTATCTGTTTAATGCCCCCTCGATATCGGAACATTGAGGTTGTCTGTTTTCCTTTTCTCTGTTCATATCGTGCATGCATTGCTTGCAGGTGGAGCTGGTCATCCTGCCCCGCGCTACAGTCATCGACATGCCACAGGACCAGCAACAGAACGCGCCTCCGCCACCACCGCCGCCATCCCCGCCACAGGACCAGCAGAAGGACGAGGACCAAGAAGAGGTGAGCCGAGTGCGGATGACACCAGTTTAGTGCTGATGCGCCTTCTAAACGGCGGCCTCTTTGTAATCCCCGACCCAGGACCAGCAGAAGGTCGAGGGTTGAAAAAAGAGGCAAGCTAAAATTGCAGCTGTCATCCTGAGCGGTTTTTGTGACGCGGTAGACGAAGCTTGAAATTAGAACTGCACGCTCCCTGTACTGCGACCGACCTTACCTCCTATCTCCCACCATCCCCGCTGAACCCCTTACCCTTCCCCCCCCCCCTCCGTGACCTGTGCTTCTTTCCGGATGCTGCAATCGCAGGAGCAGGAGGACGAGGAGGACGAGGATGACGAGGACCAGGAGGAGCAGGCGGATCAGATCCCCGAGGAGTTTGTCTTCGACGCGGAGGGCGGCGTGGTGGACCAGCAGCTGCTCATGTTCGCGCAGCAGGCGCAGCGCCGCAAGGGCAAAGCTGGACGTGCCAAGAACGTAATCTTCTCTGAGGACAGAGGACGATACATCAAGCCCATGCTGCCCAAGGTGAGCGGTTTTGCCCTTTTTGGAGCAAAATGATGCGTTTATGCTTCATAGATAAGGGTGGAGTGGTGAACCTGCACCTGCTCTTGGCCGCTCAGCTGGCGCAGTCGCCCGCAAGGGCAAGGCTGGCCGTGCCGAGAACGTTATTTTCTCGGAGCACAGAGGGCGATACGTCAAGCCCATGCTGCGCAAGGTGAGCATCCCTCTCCGTCCCCACACACCCCCTCCACTCTCCCCCAAAACGGACGCCACGCTGCGAGCAACAGTGCCCTCCCAGAAGCTGCATGTGGGAATGTGAGTATGCTTTGTAAAAAACCCTACTCCCCCCTCCTTTACCCCCTCCCCGCTGCAGGGGCAAGTGAGGCGGCTGGCAGTGGACGCCACGTTGAGAGCAGCAGCGCCCTTCCAGAAGCTGCGGCGAGAGCAAGCACAGAAGACGGGCAACACGCGGCCTGTGTATGTGGAGCAGATCGACATGCGCTCCAAGCGCATGGCCCGCAAGGCTGGCGCCCTGGTGAGTCAAGCTCTAAATTTTTGGGTTTAGGCACTTCAAGCACTGATTGTAGGGGAAGACCTCACACACTGCAAACCCATAGCGAGCGCAGACGACAGGCACCTCGCGGCCTGTGTTTATTTGGAGCAGATCAAAATGTGCTCTAAGCGCATGGAGCGCATGGCTGGCGCCCAAGTCGTTTCTCGGGCACCTTAGAGGCTGTGGTGCAATTGAGAGTGCTGGCAGAATGAAGGCAACAAGCATGTCAGTCAGTGGTAAGGTTCTGCACAGCCATATTCTTAGGCGTTTTCTTCTTGATTTCTTGGCTTGTTTGTTCTTCTCATGTGCATGCAGGTCATTTTCGTTGTGGACGCCAGTGGCAGCATGGCTCTGAACCGAATGAACAACGCCAAGGGCGCTGCTATGCAGCTGCTTGCAGAGAGCTACACCAGCCGTGACCAGGTGGGTTGCACGACGGGCTTTGACCAGGTGGGTTGCACGACGGGCTTTGACCAGGTGGGTTGCACGACGGGCTTTGACCAGGTGGGTTGCACGACGGGCTTTGACCGGGTGGGTTGCACGACGGGCTTTGACCGGGTGGGTTGCACGACGGGCTTTGACCAGGTGGGTTGCACGACGGGCTTTGACCAGGTGGGTTGCACGACGGGCTTTGACCAGGTGGGTTGCACGACGGGCTTTGACCAGGTGGGTTGCACGACGGGCTTTGACCAGGTGGGTTGCACGACGGGCTTTGACCAGGTGGGTTGCACGACGGGCTTTGACCAGGTGGGTTGCACGACGGGCTTTGACCAGGTGGGTTGCACGACGGGCTTTGACCAGGTGGGTTGCACGACGGGCTTTGACCAGGTGGGTTGCACGACGGGCTTTGACCAGGTGGGTTGCACGACGGGCTTTGACCAGGTGGGTTGCACGACGGGTTTTGACCAGGTGGGTTGCACGACGGGCTTTGACCAGGTGGGTTGCACGACGGGCTTTGACCAGGTGGGTTGCACGACGGGCTTTGACCAGGTGGGTTGCACGACGGGCTTTGACCAGGTGGGTTGCACGATGGGCTTTGACCAGGTGGGTTGCACGACAGGCTTTGACCAGGTGGGTTGCACAATGACCTGTTCCGTGGCGAGTCTATTTTTGAGGCGCCTGGATAGTATACTTATCCCGTCCCTCCCACCCCCCTGCCATTCCTTGACTGCAGGTCTCCATTATCCCATTCCGTGGCGAGGCAGCAGAGGTGCTGCTGCCCCCCTCTCGCTCCATCGCCATGGCAAGGAAGCGGCTCGACAAACTGCCCTGTGGTGGCGGCTCCCCCCTCGCCCATGGTCTCTCCACGGTATGTGTGCCCGCTTGCCCTGAGTGCTCTCCCTAATCACGGTACATATGCGGCTGCCACCCTCTCTCTGTCGCTCCATTGCTATGGCAAGGAAGCGACCCCACAAGCTACCCTGAGGTGGCGGCTGTAGCCTCGGCTATGGTCTCTCCACGTCATGTTGCCGTCTTTCTTCCTCTCCCTCCTATGCCCTCTTTCCCTCCACCTCTCTCCTTGTCCCCATTCCCCACCCTGTCATAGGAGTCTAGTTTTGAGGCGCCTCAAAACTAGACTCCTAGGCCCTCTCCCTCCACCTCTCTCCTTGGCCCCATTCCCCACCTGTCCTTCCCCGTTTTCCCACTGCCACCCCCATATTCTTCTCGTCCTCTCCCCACTGGTTGGCCTGTGATGCGACCTTTGTTTCATGCACCAATCTGAGTCGGGCCGAGCCCTGCTGTGCTGAGAACCACATCACCCAGAATCAACATTGACTGAGGCCCAACCCGGCAGTAACCACCTGTAACCATATGACTCTTAGCATAGTGCTGGAGAGGAATCTGATGTGTGAGCACATGGTAATGAGTAAGGAAGAGGTCTGCAAAGGTGGTAATTGGTGCTATCATGTATGGTCACATTGTCTTCCCCCCTCTCCCCCCCTCCCTTCCCCCCTTCCCATGCCAATGAGTTCCTCCCGTGTCCTCCCTATTACATTCCCTGCCTCCTCCCTTGTCCTGTTTTCAACTTCCCACACCTTATGCTCGTCAGGCTGTGCGGGTGGGCATCAATGCGGAGAAGGCTGGCGAGGTGGGGCGTGTGATGATAGTGGCCATCACGGACGGCCGTGCCAACGTGTCACTCAAGCGGTCACTGGGAGATGAGGAGGCAGTGGGGCCTGACGCGCCCAAGCCCACACAGCAGGAGCTCAAGGTGTGTTGTGGGGATGGGAGGAGGAATGGAGGGGGGGGGAAGAGTGGGGCTGTAGCAAGCGGTTGTTGGGAGAGGTGGAGGCGGTTGGGCCTGACATGCCCAGGATGGAGCTCTAGGTGTGTTGAAGGTAGTAGTTGGCCTGTGATGCGACCTTTGTTTCATGCACCAATCTGAGCTGGGCCGAGCCCTGCTGTGCTGAGAACCACATCACCCAGAATCAACCTTGACTGAGGCCAGCTTTTACCCTTTTCCCTTTGCAGCAGCATCCTTCGCATTAGACCGCGTGATAAGAATCGAGTTTTGAGGCGTCTCAGAACTCAAGTCTCCAGCTTTACCGATTTCCTTTTTAGCAGCATCCTTTCAGTCTGATATTGCGGGGGGTGGGGGTGGAGGGGGGAAGATGGGCTTGGTATTGGAAGCTGTCAGCTGGCCAGTGATGCGACTTTACTCCATTGACCAACCAGAGTTGGGCTTAGCCCTGCTGTGCTTGACAACCCTAGAATTACTGACTTCTGAGGCCTGCTGAGTTCCTGCTGAGTAGCTTCTGTGCTTCACTGTCTATGGATCAGACATGCCGCTATTCACCAGCCTTTTCCTCTGCACGGTCACTGCATAGCTTATAGAGTGCACTGTATAGAGTGCACCGTACAGAGTGAACTATTTGGATTGCACTGTTTGCTGCATACCGTTTGCTGGACACTGTTCACTGCACTAGTCCCTGTGCTCTGCCACTGGGATCAGTAATTCACAGAGGGCCAAGGATTGCAAACCCAAGTACCTGAGGCGGCAGCAGCATCTGCTGTCTGTGCGGAGACAACCTAATCTCAGTCTTCAACCTGAGGCCCTTCTGCCCTATCCTGCCTGTGCCACACTGCCTCACTTGCTGCTTCTCTTCCTGCCCGTGTGCTGACTGGGAGTGCTCTGGCTTGCCTATGAATTTGTGTCTGCCAGTACACACTCACCCCAGGGGTACAGAGGCTCCAATTCAGCTCTCTTAATTTGTTCCCCCTATCCCCTGCGCATCCTTCAGGATGAGATTCTGGACATCTCAGCGAAGATCCTCAAGTATGGGTTTTCTCTGCTTGTGATCGACTCTGAGAACAAGTTCATCTCAACCGGGTTCGCCAAGGAGATGGCCCGCGTTGCCAACGGTGCGTCCCATGACTCTCGAGTCATGCAAGATTGCGGTTCACTAGGTCTGTTGCCAGGTGGTTGAGCGCGGCATGCCTGTGCTTGTGATGGACTCGGAGAACACGTCCATCTCGTCTGGATTTGCCAAAGAGGTGGCCAGAGTTACCAGTGGTATGTGCCGTACTGCGAGGTTTGAGTGTGCTAGTACGGTTGTCAGGTGAACCCGGTGCTTCTGTGATCATGGATCCCACATTCACGTCTCTTACTGCTTGCCTACTCCTTTATGGTGTATTGGCTGTGTCTCTTCCTGTCCCTTCCAGGGAAGTACTACTACCTGCCAAATGCCTCAGACGCTGTGGTGTCAGCAGCAACAAAAGAAGCCCTTACCCAATTCAAGGAGTCCTAGACCTTATGCCCAACGCATGCCTAGATTGCCTTAATCATTTAGTTGACTTGCTGCTACTTTCTATCCAAAGATAACCTTCCATTTTACCTGTTCAATGATGCCGTCTCGTAGAAAGTCTATCCGAAGGGCTCTGAAATGGAATGCTGCATTGGAATGGTTTTATGTGGGAGGTAATCTTCTACCATGAAGGAAAGATAGCTTGATTTATCAATGTGCCACAAACCTTGTTGCGTGTGTATTCCTAAACCGCAAAACATTCTGTACCGGTTCTACTGGTGTTAGGCGAAGACGGACCCCCCTATTTTCGCCGGGTCTAGAGGTTAGATGTTTTCAGCGCAATATTTCCCAACAATAGTGCTGTTTCTACTCGAAGTCATGGACGGACGTAAAACAAGTGGAGCCAGAGAGGAAGGGGCCAGAGCCCATAAACACACGGGAATGCTATCTGCGGACCCAGAAACGGTCAGTGTGACCAAGAAAGTTTCCCAACCCCCAGCCCACCACGGTTTGCAGGCTTGGTGTACTGTACACCCTAAATCTCGTTTGCCTCAAGTCACGTACAGCGGATATGCCATTAGGTCCATAACATTGTCTTGTAGTACTCCATATAATACTCTAACGTCTGGAATTCCATACGATCCACCACGATGTACTCCGTCTGTACGGTATACATCTGTTGGAAATACCTCAAGGACTAACGCCGATCGTAGTCGCGACTCCCTATCGCTACGGGAACGACAACGGCAGAACCTCGGCAAAACTCCCCGCGAAGCAAATCCAGGAATATCAACAGAAACTTGGATGTCTACTGTATCAGAATTAGAATTTTATTGAAGTGAGAGAGAGAGTACACAAACATATACCTAAATGTTGTACTCTCTAGAAGGTGACCCTATACAGTCTATACAAACATGATAACTACACATGTTTGACACACCCCCTGGACTGCATAGGGGAATGTTCTAGACAAGCAGCTCAGGGTGGCACTACTAGTCCAGCCTCTGAGACAAGGGTCTAAAAGACCAGTCAGAAGGAGTACAGACAAGGCAAGAACGAGTACAGGGCGGCACTACTAGTCCAACCACTGTGAGAGGACACAAGTCCAGTCTGAGTGTATACATATATATATATAGACGACAGTACAAAGTCAAGGCCCGAGTAAGTGAGAGACTACAGGAACCAGACCAAGCTGTAAACAGTGCCGCTGATGATCTTTAGGCGCAAGCGCCTTCGTAAAGATATCAGCTGTGTTGGCACCGGAGGCCAAGTGTACTACACGAGCCTGGCGACGCTGCTGTAGCTCGCGCAGGAGGAAGTACCGCAGCTGGATGTGCTTCGCTCTGCCCTCGAGTCGAGGCTCCTGACACAGGAGAATCATGGCCCTGTTGTCAGCGTACAGGACCGGGGCAGAGCTAGGCCGCTCACCTAAGTCAGTGAGCAAGAAGGTCAGCCAGCGGAGCTCCTGTGCCGCCATGGCACCGGCGTAGATCTCAGCCTCACAGCTGGACTGGGCAACAGACGAGGAGCGGGTAGCTCTCCACGAGACAGCACCTGAGCCAAGGCTAAAGCAGTAGCCCTGGGAAGACCTGAGCGTCTCGGCGTCGTCTGCCCAAGAAGCGTCTGTGTGTCCAGTAAGGACCACTGGCCTGCGTCCGCCTAGCACTAACCCCATGCCCGATGTACTTGCAAGATAACGCAAAACCCTCTTAGCGGCAGACCAGTGCTGAGGTCGGTGTCTGCCTGTGGCCACAAAACGAGCCAGGATGCTGAGAGGGTATGCGAGATCTGGGCGAGTGCAAGTCATCAGGTACATGAGGCAACCCACTAGCTCAGCGTAAGGACCACTGGGATCTACCGACTCCTCAGGAACTGGAGCGGAGAGTCTGTGGTCCAGAGGAAGAGGGGTGGGCTGTGTGGAGGAGAACTGAAGGCCGAACCTCTGAAGGACCTGGCGCACCAAGTGTGACTGAGTCAGGGTGATGGTGCGCGCGGCTCTGTCCCTGGAGATCTGCAAGCCAAGGTAACGGCGCAGCTCTCCAAGGTCAGTGCAGGTGTGTCTCTTCAGCAGCTCTGCCTTCACGGAGGCCAGTGCGTCCCTGTCAGCTGTGGCAAAGACCAGGTCGTCTACGTAGACGAGGATGTAGAACGGAGTCGAGCCAGCACGAACGAAGAGCGAGGGGTCTGCAGAGGACGGAAAGAACTGCAGGTCAGCAAGAGTAGCACGCAGCGTGTCGTGCCACTCACGAGGCGCCTGGCGCAGGCCGTAGACTGGGCGCCGCAGAAGCCACTGGGTCCCAGGGGGGAAGGTGCCAGTAAAGCCCTGAGGACGACGCAGGTAGACCTGCTCGTGAAGGCTGCCCTGAAGAAAGGCAGTGGAGAAGTCGAGGGAGTGAAGCTCGTAGTCACGCTGAGCCGCTACGTGTAGCAGAACCCGAAGAGTAGTCATCTTCGGGGTAGGAGCGAAAGTCTGAAAGAAGTCCACCCCCTCGCGCTGACTGAAGCCTCTAGCCACGTAACGCGCCTTGAACACAGGCGGCTCTCCAGGAGGGCGCTTCACCTTGAAGAGCCAACGGCCATCGACCACGTTCACCCCAGGTGGGGGAACTGCGTCGACGAAGGTGCCGGTGGATCTCCAAGATGCCATCTCCTGCTCCATGGCAGCTATCCACTGAGAGGCCCAAGGTCCCGAAACCGCCTCAGCGTAAGTACGAGGGGTCGGGATGTCAAAAGCGTCTGGGTCACCCTCAGGGACTAGCAGCATGGAACAGAGATGGGGAGCAGCCTCGGACAGGAAAGCAAGCTCAAACTGGCGGTCCTCCAGGACGTCACTGCCGAGGGCAGGAGCACCCCCGACAGACGGAGGACAGGCAGGGTCAGAGACCAGAGCGGAGGCGTAGTCAAGGCGGCGGGTAGAGGCGAAGTCAGCGACCGCAGCGACAAGGGCGTCAAGACTCGACACTGGAACAGACGGGTCGGTAACGAGAGAGGCAAGGACCCGAGGAACAAGAGGACGAGCGGCACGAAAGTAGTCAGACAGAGGAGGAGACGCAACGACAAGAGAGGACGAAGGAGGAGACGGGAGGAGGGGAGGACGAGACGCGTGGGAGCGGAGCAACATAGGGTGAGTGCGCGGGACGGGGGAGACAGGACGAGCACGGGAGGGGCGGCGAGACCAGACGTGAGAGGGCGGCGTCGGGTCAGGAGACAGAGGAGGGGACACGGGTGGGGAACGAGGGGGAAAACGAGCCGGGGACGAGTCCGGCGGAGGGAACACGGGGCCGTAGACGGGAAGAGGGGGAGACGGCCGGAGAGGAACAGGCGCAGGGTCAGGGGACGGAAGGCCGAGCAGACGGAGGGCGGACACCGGCGGGGACTGCTGCTGCGGCGACACAACACCAACGCCAGGGCCACAAGCTGCGCGACGGCTACCTCCCGAACCCTCCACACCGGCACCCCCAGAAGGGACACCCCCAGAGCCCGAAACACAGCCAGCACCGGTACCACCCCCAGGCCCGCCGGGACAAGCCACGACAGGAGCCCCGGGACTAGTACCCACCTCAACTCCAGCACCCCCAGAGTCCACAAACAGCGGCAGCGACGACGGCGGCGGCGGCGGAGACGACGGCTGCAGCAGCTGCGGCGACGGCGGCTGCGGAGGCGGTGGAGGAGGAGACACCGGGGGAGGGACAGACGGCGAGGACTGCGCCAAAGGACTGCCAGAGTCAGAAGACTCGTCGACCGGAACGACCGACGGGAGGGGGGTGACGTGAGACACACCAGAGGGGGCCGGACGGGGGGGCGGGGGGGGGGGAGGGGCAGGGGCCACCAGGGAGGGAGGAACCAGGAACAGGGGGGGAGTAACCGGGGGACCACGGTGGGGAAAGCGGCGGTAGAAGGAGACGGACTCGTCAAAGGTGACGTCGCGAGAGTGAAAGAAACGGTGAGACGACGGGTGGTAGAAGTGCCAGTCGGACGCGTCAAGAGGGAAACCGAGGAAGACGCAGGGGAGGTGGTGGTGCCAAAGGAGAGTCGGATGAGTGAGGGACCGACAGGAGCACGCAGCAGCAACCTGGGTGGACGCAGCTACCTGGGGGGAAGACCCAGCCGGGGACGTCGCGGTGTCAAGTGTGAACAGGCCGGACACCGGGTCCCGGGGGAAAGTGGTAAGGGGGGCACCAGTGGCGGCCTCGGTACAGACAGCATACCGCTCGTGACCAGGGAACGTAGTGGTGACGCCAAGGTCCTGGAGTCAGCCGACACCAACTAGGTTCCTGGAGAACGAGGGGATATGCAGACCGGTGAGCGAACCTGAAGGAACCGCCGGACAGGGAAGGGAGGTGGAACTGCGGGCAACGACGGGACCACCGGAGGGGTCAGCAAGAGTAACTGCAGCAGGAACAGGCAGCGGCGTCAGCGTCGTGGAGTCGCGGAAGAAACACCGGGAGGCGCCAGAGTCCAAGGTGAAGGAAAGCGCAGCAGTCGCGCGGGGCGACAGTGAAGCGGTGGAAGCACCGAGGCTAAGCAAAGCAGGAGATCCTACGCCTGACGCAGCAGGGGAGTCTACGCTAGGCACAGCTACACTAGGCAACACGGGGTAATAAGAGGGAAGCACACTAGAGTCATCGGCATACATCACATGCAAGGCTGCTACAATGGCATCCATGTCCAAGTCAAAAATCCGAATGCTACGCCTAAGCAAGCTGTGCCAGTCCGGGAGGTCGGGCGCCGGGCCAAAGCGCTGGCGGAACAGGTCGTCCAGACGACGAAAACAGCGAGGAGTGGAATGACCGATCTTACCGCAAACGAAGCCGCGGCGAGGACCGGTCTGGATCTGGTACTGACAGGGCCCGCCTCCAGAACCACCACCCGGTGCACCACCACGCGCACGACCACCACCAGCTCCAGGCCACCCAGGCAGGAGAGCACTCGCCGGCCTCGTCTGCGGCGGCTGCTGCGGCTGCTGCGGAGGCTGCTGCTGCTGCGGCTGCTGCAACGGTGGAGGCAGCGGGGCAGCTGGACCGGGCAGGGTCCCCACGTCCGCACCGGCACCGGACGACCCGCCTCCACCACTACCCCCAGCCGCACCCCCGCCACCTCCGCCGCTCCCAACCTTGGGGCGGCGGCCCTTCCCCGAGCGGGACTGCACTGCAACAGCAGTCTCAGCCACAGCGACAGAGCCGTCGGAGAAGGTACACT